TCTTTTTTCTTTTCTTTTTTTTCTTTTTTTTTCTTTTTTTCTTTTCTTTTTTTTTCTTTTCTGGTAGATATGAACGTGAACATTGTCCTTATCAAAACAACTTGAAATTCAGCAAAGTGTGCTGCCTCACCCCAGACCAACAACAGCTGGAGTTGTGTGTCTTCTGATGCCAGGATCTGTGAGTTGCACAATCCAAATATTCACAAGTGTTGACAGCACCAGTTACAATCCATAACAGCTACAGGTGCTTAGCTCCTCTGAGCTAAACAGTTATTTGGGTATTTTCACTCATAAATTAGTGACATTTACAGTCAGAGATTCTCTGTGTAGGAAGTCTGGGAGATCCCTCTCCTTGTGTTTTATCCACTCCTGCAATACAGCCACAGAAACTTTCTTTCTCATCAGTTAGTTGAACCCAGAAGTAATCTTTTTTTCAGCAGCCATAAAAATAATATAATCAATCAAAGACCTCTTAAAAATAATTTTGTCCGCAGTTTAGTTTTTATTCACTGAAAAGAACCCTTCCTTAATGTGCATTTGGATTAAAAAATAAGAAGCAAACTCTTTGATTTCCTATTTAAATCCATATAAATGCTTTTAAAAGGATACAGTCATTAGGCATTATTATTGGTAGTTAAATTCAGTACTCTACCACTTCAATTGAATAAATGACATTTTATTTTCCTAGTATATTGGAGGGGAAGAATAAAATGCCTGTTACACAGAAAACTTGAACTAAGTAGAAAAACACATTTTAATGTCTACATACTATTACATGTGGATAAAATTGGGGAAATGGGTGGAAGTTGGCAGATACAAAATCAAATGGCAAGGAAGAACATCAGCTGAAGTTGACTTTGGCATCTATAATTTACATTGGCCATTTTTTCTGAGGCCAATAGCTTGATCAAAGAAAAGAATAACAGGATCTTTCTCATTCTGGTATACTATGTCAATTTTGCTACATTCTCTGCCTTCCTTTTTCATCCTGCTCTCTTTCCCTCACCTCACACACACACACACACAGATAATATCTGCAAATCTCAGAGAAAGCATAACTGAACAGGAGAAGGTTTCATTGTCACACCCAGCCTCTGTGCAGAGTCCATGCTCTTTGGGGTGAAATACATCCTGGAATTTAAAGGAACTTCATGGACTGGGTGATCTGCTGTAGTAAGTCCCACATGTTTGGGAGTGCACAGAGTCTCCAACCCGAGAGCAGTGCAGGATCTCTCCTGGGAAGGGTGTGGCTCTGCCCTTGATGAGAAGTGAGGGTCACCATGCAGGGAGCACCGCTGGATGTGCTCAGGTCTGCTCTGGGCTGCTCCGGGCCCGGGAGGGAAAAGTGAAACATAGAATAAGACAGTGTAACTTACCCTTAATACAGCACAGTCTGTATTGCAGAGCTTGCATTACTTTATTGTTCTTGATCTCATATTTCTATACTTCACAGCACCACGATGAAGCAAAGTGTTCTTTTCTGTAGTTCCCTGAGGTGGGTGCAAAAAGTGAGGTTTGGAAAGCTGCAAAGTGGAGAAAGAGAAGGTGGCACACACATTCTTTCATCATCTATAGTATCTAATAATGCTTTTCTAGAAGGAGTGCTAAAGTTGGGGTTTGTTATTTGGGAGAGGTTTATTGCTGGTGAAAATTAACGCTGGCAGTGTTTTGAAAGGCTTTATTGCATTCACTATTTTACAGAAGGAAGAACCTATAATATTTTGTCTTTCATGATGTTATGCCATATTCCCCACATGAGTCCCATTAACTTAAATTTCTCAGAATAATATAATGTAGCCTACTGTGTTCTAAAGTACTGTGCACACACCAGAAAATAAATAAAACATCTTCCACAACCGTTACAAAAATTTTCCACCCCTAGAAATTCCCCAGATAAATTATTTTTCTAAACGAAAGGCAGAGAGATTCTGAAGCATCTTTTCAGTGATAAAGAATTATGTAACTATAAAAGAAAAAGATTGAAAGAGATAAAAAAAATGTTATCTTGTTCATCTCCTAAGGATGCTGAGTTCATTTCGGATAGATATTTGTTTATTCATTCCTTTACAATTTCTAATTATGAGGTCTTCATGACCTATCCAGGAAATTCCTGTGCTTCACTTACCATCAAGAAGAATGTTCTCCCTTTAATAAGTAACTTGGACTATTCTTCCTGAAACTTAAAGCTATTACTTTTTGTCCTGTCCACCATGGACACATTGAATGAATTACTTCTTCTTTCTATCAGACTTCGGTGCTTATAAATACTTTTATCAAGCATTGATTAATCTTTAAGAGTTACCTTCATTAAGCTAGATACTCTTAAGTCTTTCAGCTCATTCTCAGAGGTCTTATTTCTTGTTGGTCTGCAACAAACTCTTTCATAGTAAGCCACATCCTTCTGGAAATACAAGCACAAAACTGGAGAGAGAGGCCTGTTCTGGACAGAATTGCATGATCTTACCAACTGCCTCACAAATTGTACTCCTGAATATTCATTTTTATGTAGTGCTTATCTTGTCTGCATGGCTTGTGTTGATGAGCTGTAAACCCCAGGTCCTTTTCTGAAAATACCATCGTCCAGCTAATTGTGCTTTGTTGTATTTTGGTGTTGAGTACTGTGGCTCAGCATGGTTTCCAGGTCTTGTCCCAGATGAATTTAATCCTGGTTTTTCTTAAAGGTTGTCTTCCTGGCTTTTTGACATCTATTTGCACTAATGCTATACTTCTGGAACTTCAGTTTTTACACCTCTCAGAGCATAATTTAAATTTTCTCATAGCATCCCAAATGAAACACAGACTAGATTCTATTCAGGATAGAATATCTGCTTATTTTGAAACATCCTTCCATCCTAACGGTCACAACAGTCCTGTGTGGGGGTGCTTATTACACATTTTTATGTCATTGACAACTTTTGCTGTATTTTATGGGAATGTAACAGGAAATAGGATTTAAACTCTCCTGAAGTCCTGAGTTATGGCCGCTGCTGCAGACATTCCTGGTTTGTTACAGTAGCACATTAGTCTAATAGGATTTATTCTTGTCATAGCTATACTTGCTGTGTGTGACACTTGTTATTAGGTTACCTATTCCAACTACCTGTTCCAATTACCTTTTTTACTCCAGAATATTTCTGGGAGAAGAATTTAAACAGACTAGTCTAGAATTTATTGGTTCCTTTCCTGCCTTTTTTACAGACAGTCACTATATTTGACCTTTTTCTGTTTTCTGGTACCACACCCATTCACCAAAGGATTTTTAAGAGAGCCATTAATGGTTGTGAGAATGAGCAGGGAAATAAATACAGCCTTGGTGAATCTTGCAGAAAACCATTGGATCTCGGCTTAAAAGTCTGACTGATCACACACGAGGTGTTAACATTTGGTAACATTCAATGTGCTGTACAACCTTATATATACACTGTTATTTATTAGAGACATGCAGTTTTAAACATCTTAATCTCTGCAAGATTTTTCAACAGATGGATTATGGGAGCCTTGTCTTTTCTGAAATGGTGGGAGAATTAGAAACAAATGTACAAGGCTCAGAAGTCCAGGAATTTTCACTCTTGGAAATGGCACAGGGGCTTTCTGGCAAGAGCAAAACCTGTCTGTTTTGGCTCTCAGAAACAAAGTCATAGTTCACATTCTAAATCTAATGAGAAAACATTATAATAAGAGATTTAAATATTGCCAGTTACAAAAAGAAAATTGATAGTGCCTAATTTGTAAGGAGAGTAATTAATGAATAAGAAAAGGAATTAGAATTGAATATGGCTCTCTAAAGAACCAAAAAGGATGAGAGCAATAATCCTGCACTGGCAATCTCCTTGTCATGTCAGATGTCAACATCCTACATTGCTGTCAAAGGAACTGCTTTACTAATCTACAAATAAGGAAAAATTGGTTTCTAATCTAGATCCTGAACTTGATAACCATGTTCTTTCCTTAATTAAGAACAAGAAAGGTTCTCTCTTTTCTTTAGAAGCCACTGGAAAAAATCTCTCCCAAATTAAGAAAAAATATTCCTGTTTTGAAACCTGCCTATTTACACTGTAATCTTCACAGGTGATTTTTAGGTGTTTTACATTCTTTCTATTCCACTCACATAAAGTGTCAAACAGGAAAAAGTGGTTTTATTGAAGAAGAGGCTATCTGAACTAAATACTGATGTAAGTTTAAATTGGAGTTAATACTTTGATTTAAAATAAATATATACTGAATCAGTTTTCCTCTCTTTCTTCCAAAACTAATGGAAATAAAATTACAGATAGGTAAAAATGGTTTTTTTTGTATTCAGATTCCAAATAGATCAACCTTCTTTATTCCTGGATATTCCTATACCAGGTTATTTTTCTTTCCTCTAACTGGGGTATGATGTAGTGTACATTCTTCTTAGCATCTTGCATAGCTAAAATGCCACATTTAATAATGATGCATTTCAAAAAATCTGTTCTTCTTTTTGTCTCAATAGATAAGATTTACTCAATTATTATACTAGTCCCTCAACTAAGAAAAAAAAAATCTCCTTTACTCTGCAGAGGTTCCTTCAGTCACTCAAGGCTTTCATATTGTATATAATGGCTGAAGTAATTAATGTACTTCTCCTTCAGTAGTAAAGGCTAACAGCTGCTGAGACTGGCTTTGGGGTATCTATCAGCAACTGAACAAAAAATGGGATTGCCTCTAATCCTGTTTTGCTTTATTTCTTTCATACAACTTTAATATGTGGCTTCATTGTTCTAAAATTGTTTGCACTTGGTGAGTCACTGGTCTGTAAAAAGCACCTGGATTTATTTAGCACTGAAACATGGTTGTTTTTATTCCTCACAACTACTCATCCTTGAACCCTTGGAAGCCCCTGTCCCCAGGGCCAGGGCTCTAACAGCCTTTGATTGCCTGATCAGCCCCACCTGTGTTGGGGCCCCACCCACACCCTCTGCCCATGGCCACAGGAGCCCCATTTAAGCGTGGCCCAGAGCTCTGGCTCCTGGTTTGAGCTTCCCTGGCTCTTAGCCTCCTGTCCTGCCTTGGCTGGATGTTGGTTCTGGGTTGCAGGTAGGTGCTTCCATGTCCTGCTTCTTGTTACTACAGGTTTTGTGTGTTGATTTTTCTTGTTCCTCTTCTGTGTGTGTTCTCCTCTACCCAAAGCCTAGGAATACACAGATGAATATTTGAGCTATTAGAATGAATTAGTTGTTTTCATATAATTAATTGTAAAGATTTCTTTCTATTTGCTGTGCTTTTAAATAAAGGCATGATAGCATACAGTGGTATGGCCACATTTCTAAAGGCTTGCTGCTCGCCTGCAGGGGTTTTATCAGAATAGTCATAAAACATTGGGCTCAGACCCTCAGTACCTTGGACTTTATATGGCTTTGAAGAAGTTCTGATGGCAACTGAATTTCAATGGTTTGCATTAGGCGAAAATGTAATTGTTTCAGCTAAACAGATAAACCTACTCTAATAGAGAAATGGTTGTTGCACACAGCACAATTAAAACCAGGAGTAGAAGAGGAGCATTGGCAGTTCCTACTATCCTGAAGACTGCAGCCAAACCAGCAAAGATTTAAGGAAATGACTCACAGTACTCGCAAGAAAGAAAAATATCATAGTAATGGCAAGGAAAGCTAGGTTAATGTAACCAAACTGCTCAAGTCAAGTTTACTAGCCCACAGAGGCAGAGACAGGAAGGACTGAATGGCATTCCTAAAACAAGTCTGTAATAGTGTTTTGTCAGGTCAGTGACTGTAAATGTCCAAGAACAGTGAACATGTAGGAATACATTTTGCTCTTGGATGTTTTCACATAGATGTGTTGGAGTAAAGGACTTTGCAGATGAAACAGATAAAGATTTGGTCCAGAGATCTCAGTGTAATGAATTGAATGCTCTTTGGTAATGCCATCAAGCATGTGCTTCAATTTGCCTAATAAATACATGAGTCTCAAAATGCTAGTATGCTGATTTTTAAAGTGTTGCTGTCAAAAAAAACCCCCAAAAAAAACCCACTCCTACGCTTTGTTTATTTTTTGGGCAAATGTTTATACTGCTCTAAAAAAAAAGTGGCTCTAAATGCATTTATTAGTAAGATGAATCATGTAGGAATGCTCTCCAGCCTATGCATGAATAGGTTATAAAGAGTAAAGAAAAGCCTAAGATTCCAGAAGATTCTGTGACATTTTAGAATAATCTGAAATATCTATGCTGTAATGTAGTATTTATTTCTAAAGTTAAGCATTTATTTTAATGATGTTTTTCTGGAATAATTGCTGTTGCCTTCAGCAGATGCTCCAGTGTGCCAAGATAGCAGGGCTGCCTGCCTGAGAGCCTTTTTCTTTTTTTCTGAAAAGGATTACAGGATGGAGGTAGTGGGCACAGTCCTGAATGGATCTTATTCAGAATCACCCTTAAGGTGATCATGTTCTGTGTAGCACTTATACAGGGAGAGTGTTACCTTTTCCTATGGTATAGTCTTCCTGCAAAACTGGGACCAACACTGGGATTAAAGTAAATTTGGGTTTTTTTAAGCATTGTTTGGAGAAGTGGCTGGCTGGGGCTACCAGGAACAAATCCCTGTAGGTGCAAGGTGTAAAGGTGTCTATACAGCAGGTATGGAGTGCAAATAAATGCACTGTTACATGTACAGCTTGCCTACATTCTGTGTGAATGCTGTGCTGTTCGAGCTGGGGCAGTCACCAGAGCAGTTTCAGGTATGCAGGTGTGTCTTCCACAGCAGTCTGAGAGGCTTGGATGGCTTCAAGGTATGTGGCTGTCACAAATGTCAAAGTATGGAGCAAGATTGTGCTTTTCTGGAAGCATATTGCACTGCTGTATGTGGTGATAATGCACAGCTCTGCATGGATGAAATGCAAAATCATCCAGCACTGTTCCTTTTTGGTCCTACTACATGCGCTTTAAATGAGATGAATAACTAACTTGACTTGGTTAACCCTAGGGGAAGGCCTTTTAATTATTAACTTAAATAGCTGTGGGAGTTTTGCACATTTTTCTGTAAGAATGTTTTGCATTTTATGCTGAAATGGGTCTTATCTGACTCTTTTGGGATATTTAAAATATCCCAATATTTAAAATAATTTTTTTTTAATTCAGTACAAAAGCACTGGCTGAGACCATTGAGCTAAATCAATTGAAACAAGTGCAGCAGGGATTTCAACTGACAAGAGCAGTGCTCTTCCACACAGCCATGGTGCCTGAGAAGGAGCTGCTGGAGTTAGGGAAGAGCAGAGTGATGGAAGAGCAAGGAGAAAAGGGCTCTCAGTTATGGGATGTAACTGAGAATATTGCAGTCCAAGGGATTCTGTACAGGTGCTGTGTTCCAAATGATGCTCCCTTAACTAATCTGTACCTTTCCTGAACCCATTTTCTGTAACAAACTGCACAGTGCTGGAGTGACAAAGGGCATATAGGACTTAAAGTAAGGGAAGATGAAAGGTACTTGATCACTGTGTATTGAAAAAATAAAAAAATACTGTACAACAAACAATCCTCCCTCAGTGGGTGAACAGCTGTTGCAGTGATGCTGAGCACTGATGTAGAGAACAGAATTCCTGAACCTCCTTGCAGAATGTAGTGGTCAAGAGACACACCTGCAATGTCCTGTCCCTCAGGAGGTGTGGGAGAGCAGGGTTCAGATACTCAGGGATGCCACAGCATCAATGTTTGGCTAATACCACAAAACCATGGACACAACTGCTGTGGAGTAGCTCAGGCTGACTGGTTGTGTATGCATACCTTGATATTAAGATAGCTGGATGATTGTGGACAGTGTGTGGGATGATAAAGAAAAGCTTTGTTCACTGTGCTGCTTAAGTCTGGCTTCCTGTGTGCAAACAAAATCACCAAAATCAATAGGTTTAATTGACTGAATTCATGTATCTGCTTAATTCTTGTTGGAAGGGTGTGCTACTTCCAGCTGTGGCATGTGAAACTTCAGGAGGGAAGTGTGGTCCCCAACAGGATGGCATGAGAAGGAGATGAAAATTTGTATTTGAATTGTTATACACAAGCCTGAAAGAGACAAAGCTTGAACAGTGGAATGTAACATGTAGTGAGGAATAGGGTTTGGAAGGTAGATGGTTGCTTGCTTAAAAGTGGGTGCATTAATTAGGGACACATGTATTTGAATACTTTTCTCACACTTTAATAGGGAAAAATTGTATAAGGACACTTAGGAAAACCTGTTGGCTACTAATACTATTTATTAGTAATTTTTTTTTTGTTTATTAGTATTTTTTCTGTATTTATTTATTAGTATTTTTCTGTGTTTATTAGCATTTTTCTATTTATGTGTTTATTAGTATTTTTCTATTTCTGTATTTATTAGTATTTATTAGTATTTTTTTTTATATTTATTCTGTGTTTGAGTCAGCACTGTCAGTTAGATGTCATTTCCATTCAGGTGAAAACTCATCTTTTTCTGTCATGGAGCTGATAAAACAATAGCTAATCATTGAATAGCTTCCATGTGTTCACACCAGGTGAGTTTTCACAGGCAGCATTCCTAGGTCTTAGAAATGAGCTGCTGTGGCACTGTGATTCCTGAGCTATGAGAAAATGTTTTCTTTGGTTTACAGGTGGGTTAATATTGGAAATGCCCATGAACAGTGCCAGGTATTATTTGCTATGATAAGGGACAACAGTTTAGTTTTAATCTTGTGTTTGAGAGGCATACATCAGTCATGTACACTCAGATACCAGAGCAAATTTCAGTATTATTTTTTGGGGTCTTTCTACTGTAGTTATGGAAATTTCGGCAGGTCCAAAATGTGGTTTTTTTTCACTTCTTGTTTTCTTTCATTGCATTAACTAGATTAATGTGTTTTTTTAAAAAATGCCTATTTTTGACACTTATAGCTCAGGTACTACTCTTAAAAGCAGTATAATAAAGGAAGGATTAGTTAAATTGGTGATTTTTTTTTTTTGTTTCATGCAAGTGAAACATGAGCCATTAGGAGAAGATTGCATTTCTAGACTCTTACACATATTTTGCCCATGGAATTACTTTAATGTTTAGTCTGTTCTAAGTATTTGGGGGTCATTTTCCATAATTTTGCTTACTTTTGTTGGAATGGACCAGTCTCTCTCACCATCAGCTTGTCTGGCTGGAAATCCTGAGGAAGAGGAGGTGGTTCTGGGGTTTTGTAGGGTTTTCACCATTTTCAAAATTGATGAAAATTAAAATCTCCTTTCACCATTTTAAAAACCTGATTTCTTCCAGGTTTTTTGCTCAGCCAGTGGCCTGCTGGGGATTCTCCAGCAGCCTCTACTCAGGCTTTACTCCCCCTAGGGCAAGCCAGAGCTCTGTAGTGTAGTGGATGGAATCTGCTCTGGATTGAGCAGCTCAGCCCAAGAGGACCCAGGTCTGTAAGTGCCTGCAGGAAGAGGAAAGCATCCCAGTCATTGCCTTGTCTATGGATAATTGGCATTTTGTATGTTTATTACCACCCACGTCATAAACCTTGAAGAGTCAGTCACTGGAAGCTAAATAAAAAAGGACCTAAGCAGTGACTTTCAACATGCTGAAGTCAAACATAAACACAGCATGAAATGACCTGTGGACCTTTACCTTCCTTGCAAGATGTGTGATTAAAACAAAAATTAACCCAGAAACATTCTTAACTTAGTGAAGAATATGCTGTTGTTGACCCGGATTGACACACTGACCCAGTACAGTGGGAATAATCCCTGGCAGTTTATATGGCTTTGAGGATGATGTAATAAATTTTAATATGAATATAAAATATTGTTTAGTGTATAAATGGGTTCCTCATGCCCTTAGATATTTTATGAGTTCTGGTCCATTGTTGTGAATATATCATTGCTTTTCTATCTTGCTGTCAAGTAGAATGGCTGGAGAGTCTATGAGTCAGGCATGGTATGAAAACAGAATTTTCATTGTGTCCAGGGTTTTGGGGCTGAGGATTCCTGTGAGTAAGAACATGGCACTGGACTCAGTTGCTTAGTCAGATGTATCAGCAACATGCAAAATGTACCAGTGACCTGGTGTTTATCCAGCTGGATGAGGATGTTGCCTTAA